CATTAGTCCTTCCTTTCTTCTACAGCTAACAGGATTTTTAAAAAGCAGCTCTAAGTCACAAGCATATCCCAGCAGCTGCTTGCTTTTCCTAGTATGAGCTACTTCAATCCTCTGCTACCATCACTAATATTCTAGTTCAAGGAAATATTAAAAGGCACAGTTAATCATGCTGTTTTCAGAAATTGCTTAGTCCTTGAATTAATATGTTTTAGAAAGCAGGTTTTCTTCAGTCCCTTAAGACTTGGTTACTTAGAATGAAATCTTCCTAATTTAATAGTCAATCTGCATACATGTTTAAATGCATGGGCTTTAAAAGCAACTTTAAGATTAAGAGGGTTTTGTTGTCTTTATTTGCATAATTTAAAGCTGATTACTCAAGCAAGTTTTAGAGCAATTTTAAGAATAGTAGCAAGGCCAGAATCTAAAGCTAATACATTCTTTACAATCAAGTGTGTAAATGGCCAAATAAGGGATGTTTTTAACATTGTCTCAACTGTGGAGATATCATCATTTTTCAAAACTATGGCTAAGCTCTGCGTATCTTCCAGTTATGTACCCATTTGTGTTCATTTTTAAAAATATCATGAAATGTTGTTACATACAAAGGAATATCTGTAATATAATTTTTTAAAGCATAATAATAAAATGGCCCCTGTGAACCTACCATGCAACTTGAGCAATAGAATGTAATAGGGCCAAAACTCCTTGTTTCCCTCCTCAACTCCATGCCCTATCTCCCCTGCCTCCCTAAAACACATCATTCCCATGCTTTTCTTTATAATCACATTTATTGCTCTATGCAATATATTCAAAATTCTGTTTTTGAATTTTATAGATAAATGGTATAATATTGCATGCATTTTTCTGCAACTTATTTTTCACTGAACATTGTTTCTGAAATTCATCTATGATGATGTATATAGTTCTATTTTAATCATTTTCACTTCTGTATAGCGTTCCAATGCATGAATAAACCACAATTTATTTATCACCTCTCCACGTGACAGGTACTTTCCTGATTTTTACTACTTTGAACATTTTTGTACATGCCTCCCAGCACCTATCGGCAAGGGTTTCTTTCAGCATGTGCTCCAAGAGCAGAGCTGAATGTTCATAAGGTTATGTAATTATATATATACAGAGGGTGCCAAACAAAGTATACACATTTTAAGAAAGGGAAACTGTATTAAAATTGTAATACTCAATATACACCAATAACAAAACAGAATACAAGTCACGTTTGACTTCTGCAATAACAAGAGGTGCTCAAAGTGGTTCCCATCAGCGTCCAGACACTTCTGATTATGGCGAACTACTGCTTGAGCAACGTTGACAAAAGGTGTCCACTTGTGTACATTTTTTTTTGGCACCCGCAGTATACTTCTATAAATATGTTATATATACACAATCATATGTTTATATTATATAGTTATATATAAATATTAAAATAGATCATTGTTTCATGTATAATTATACATTGCATATTTATATATGTCATCTGTATATATGTATATATTATAAACATGTAATTTTGAAAGTGGTTGCCATTTTACACTCCTACCACCAACAATGTATAAGTGATATTGCCTAGCTTTTAATTTTTCTCCTTTCTTAAGAGTGTACAAATGTTACCTTAATATGTTCTTAATTTGCATTTCCCTCCCATTCTCTTATATTGTCATTAGCCATTTATAATTCTCTTCTATGAAATTCCTGTTTATGTCATTTCCCCCATATTCTTTTGGGTTGTTTGTTTTCTTCTATTTGGTTTTTAAGAGTTCTTTATACATTCTATATACTAATCATTTGGCTATTATATGTGAGCATTTACCTTCTCTATGTTTCATGCTTGTATTTTCACTCTTGGTGCTGTCTTTTTTGATTAAAAGTTCTAAATTTTAACATAGTCAAACTTATTAATCTTTTCCTTAGTGATTGTGTTTTTGATATCTTAAACCCTGGCCTACATCAGAGCCATATTCTCATGTATTTTTGTTTTAAATTTTATCTTTTTCATTTAAGTTTTAAATCCAACTGAATTGGATATTTTGTACATTGTGTATTAGAAAACCTAGTTTTTTCCTTCATAGGAATAACCAATTGTGCTAACATTTATTGAATATCCACTCTTTTCTCATTGATCTGCAAAACCAACTTGGTCATGTATCAAGTTTCCAAGTTTCTAATGTGTTTATTTCTGTGTTCCCTATTTTGTTCCATCAATCTATTAACTATTTCTGTGTGCTGTCTAATTATTATAGCTTTACAAGTTAAGGCAACTTTCTTACCTCATTTTTTCTTCTTTTTCTAATCTAGAGTATTTTGACTCTTCTTGGGTTCTTTGCTTTCCTCTATGATTGACCAAAAATTTGTGAAGTTCCATGAAAAACCTGTTGGCATGTTGAATGAAACTGCATTAAACCTGTAGATAAATTTGGAAAGAATATCTTTATGATATTGAGTCTTCTTATCCATGAACTTCTTATTCATTTATTTGAATATTTTTTATTACTGTTTCATTCAAGTTTTAAAACGTTTTCTTCATAAAATTCTTACATCTTTCATGAAGATTGTATTCATTTACATTTTTTGATGCTACTATAAATGGTATCTTAGAAATTATATTTTGTTTATTGCCTGTATGTAGAAATGAACTGCAAACTTGCTAAATTCTCCTAATTCTTGAAATTCATAGATTCTTTTGTTTTCTACATAGACTAATAATGACAGTTCTATCTGTATTAGCTATCTTTTGGTGCATAACAAATTACCTCAAACTTAGTGGCTTAAAACAACATACACTTACTACCTCCTAGTTTCTATGGGTCACTTAGCTGGCTATCTGCTCAGGGTTTCACAAGGCTGCAATCAAGGTGTCGGCTAGGCTGTGGTCATTTTTAGAGCTTAGGGTTCTCTTCCTAGATCACATGGTTATTGGTAGAATCAGTTAATTGAAGCCATAGAACTGAGGTCCCCTTTTTGTTGCTGGCTATCTGCTTGGGGTTGCCCTCAGTTCCTAGTGCCCCCACATTTCCTTTCCACATGGCCCATTCACAAGGCTTCTCACAACATGGCAGTTGAATACTCACCCCATCGGCTAACAAGGAGTCTTACATAGGGTAATGTAATCACAATACTGCAATAATTCCATCACTTTTGCCCAGAACATAACCCAATCAAGGGAGTGACTACAACCCACTTTTGCCATATTCTATTTGCTAGAAGCAAGTCTCAAGTTCTGTCCACACTCAAAGAGAGGATGTGGTTCATTGGAAATTCCCTTAGTGTGAATTTTTAACCCCAACAGCTTTTATATTTCTTTTCTTTGATATATTGCACAGACTAGGTTCCCAGTACGTTGAAAATAAATTTTTATCATCTTAAAGGAAATGATTTAATGATTCACCATAAAGTAACATGTTTGCTGTAGGTTTTTGTAAATGTCATTTATTAGGTTAAAGAAATTCTATTCCATATTTTCTAGTATTTTATTTTTTATTTTTTAAAGATTTTATTTGGGAATTGGGGGAGGAGAAAAGACAAGTTGTTGTCTTTGTTCTTCAGTTTAGTTGTGGAGGACGTCGCTTCACTGGCCCATGTTGGTATTATCATTGCGCTCTTCCCGGGTGAGGCAGTTGCTCACCGGCCATTGGAGAGCCACTCACGGTGGCTCATGGCAGCTCACGAAAGTGCACGCCAGCTGCCAGCCAGCCCCACTGCAGCCTATGCCTTCGCCGGCGACTTGCGGCAGCCTAGCTGCAGGTTGAGCTGTCGACAGTTCACCATCTTAGCTGTAGAGGGCGAAGCATCACTGGCCCTCATGTGGGATCCGAACCTGGGCCCTGCTGCTCAGAGCTGGCATCCCAAGCCAACTCTTAACCAATGTGCCACTTGGCCGGCCCTCTAGTATTTTATTAATGTAATGTTTTTATTACTTTCAGGTGTACAAAACAGCATAATGATTAGACTTTTATATATTTCACCAAGTGGTAACCTCAGTAAGTCTATTAACCATCTGATACTGTACCGTTATTACAATATTAACTATTTCCTATGCAAAATTAAATATCCCTGTGACTATTTCTTTAAAATTATAGTTGACATTCAATATTATTTTATATTAGTTTCAGGTGTACAGCTTAGTGGGTAGACATTTATATTATTTATGAAGTGACACCCCTGATAAGTCTAGTACCCATTTGATGCTATAGTTTTTACAATATTATTGACTATATTCCCCATACTGTATTTTACATCCCTGTGACTTTTATAACTACCAATTTGTACTTCTTAATCTCTTCACCTTTCTCACCAGTCCAACTCCCCTCCCATCTAGTAACCATCAGTTTGTTCTCAGTATGTATGAGTCTGTTTCTGTTGTTTGTTCATTTAGTATTTTTTTAATTAGAAACGACTGTTGAATTTTATCAAACTTTTTTGCCTGCATCGTTTGAAGTGATTTTACCCCCCTTTGTTGCTAAAACTCTTGCATTCCTGGAATAAACTCAGCTTGATTACGGTATCTTTTCTTTCTTATTCATTGCTGGATTTACTTGACTCTTTTGTTTTGGGTTTTTCAAATGTATTTCCGTGATTGAGATTTTACCCTTGTTTTTCTAGCCTCTTGAAATTGAGTTGGAGTTTGTTCCCTATTCTCCTGTGCTTTGCAATAATTTGTATGAGATTAGAATTATTAGCTTTCTAAATGTTTAGCACTCTTCTGAGAAATGGTCTGGGCTTGTTGCTTTCTTTCTGGAAAGATTTTAAAAATAGAAATCCGCTTTCTTTAACAATTATTATTGTTTTTTCTTTTTCTCCTTCACTAACTTTAATAGCATAGTTTTGAGGAATTTGTTCATTTTGTAAGTTTTCAAATTTGTTGGTGTGAAGTTATTCATAACAACCTCTTTCAAAAAATCTTTAATCTTTGCAGCACCTATAGCTATCTCCATTTTTATTACTAAGGTCTTTTCTTTACTTAAAAAAAAAAAAAAAAAACCTTGACAGAAATTTGAGTTTATTAGTTATTTAAAGAACCAGTGTTTGACTTTGTGGACCCTCTCTACTGTATTATTTTTATTAAGTTCAGCTTTTATCTTAGTTTTCCTTTTTTTTTTTTTCATCTATTTTCTAGTATCCTAAGGTAGTAAGCTTACCTCATTAAGTATCAGCCTTTGTTCTTTTTTAACATGTTATTTTCTTCTATTTTAACTTCAGCCTACATTTTATTCATAGTGTGCAGTTTTGAAAAATTTTTTCTTTGATCCATGAATAAGAAATTATTTCTATAAGGTTACTTTTCTACAGTGATGCATACTTAGGCAAGGGTAGTTAATTTACTGTGAAATATAAAAAAATATAAATATGCATATACAGAAAAAATATGTGTGTATATATATATATATATATATACACATATTCTATGCATATAAATCTGTCTATAAATCATCTCACTGTTATAGCCCTCTGATGTCATCATATAATGGTATATGGATAACTGTATTTCAAAGAATGGTCACTGAATGAAAAAAAAAAGTTAGAGGCAGTTGTTTTAAACTTATTACTAATTCTAAGATATTCTTTTTTAAAAGAATTACTAGTTGAATCTATAAATGCTAATTTTTTATGCAAGAACATTTTTCAGTTACCATGATATATTTTAAATAATCTGACATTTATACCATTCAAACCAGATGCAATAGTTAACATAATATACAAAAATTTCTACTAAAAATATTTTATTTAGTAATAATATCAATCTCCAACTTGAAATAAAAATTTCCATCATCTTCAATTGAACTTTATGCCACTTTGTTTTAGAATGTCCTGTTTTTCATTAAAATAATTTCTAAACCACTCAATGTGTTCCACTTTCTGTTTAACACTCAGATATGGGTTTTTGGAAAGGCCACAGGTCACTAGCTCCATGAAGTGGCGAACTGGTCCTTGCTTTGGAAAATCCTCCAGGTATTTATCCAGAAATACATGTTCATGAAATTCTGAACCATCATCATCAAAACCTAGGAAATGAGACAAAATACATTACATTATAATTTTGAATGTAAAACCCACATCATAAAATTAACATTAATGAGGTAATATTACAATTAAAGTCATAAACTTTGAAATCAGACCTAGGTTTGCCCACCAATTTAATAACTATGTGACCAGGCAAATTAATTAACTTCTCTGAGCATCAGTTTCCTCAGGCATAAAATAAGGATTAAAACAGCACCTTCTTCATGGGGATTTTGTAAAGATTAAATAAACAGAAAGTTTTTAAAGCTGTTTTACAAAGTTTAGCATACTGTAAATGTTCAAAGTGTAGCAGCAATTACTGCTAATAAATATTTTAATATCTAAAGCAACCACTAAGTAAACTATACAAGGTATACTAAAAAAAAAATAAATACATAAACAAGATGGAATCCTAAAATATGTTCAAGCAGCCTACATGAAGCCAAAAAAAGGCAGAGGAATGAGAAACATAGAAAATGAACAGAAAACAAATAATAAAACAGGAGACATAAGTCCTAATAAATCAATAATTACTTTAAGTGTAAATGGTCTAAATCCACCAATCAAAACACCTCTGTCTTAGCAGAGTGAATATAAAAACATGATCCAAGTATACGTTATCTTCAAACACAACATAAGTAGCTTGAATGTAAAAGAATGGAGAAAAATATATCTCGCTAACATTAATTTTTTTAAAAAAGAAAGCATGACTGGTTGGTTATATGAATGTCAGAGAAAGTAGGCTTCAGAGCAAAGAAAATGACTAAGGAGAAAGAGAATCATTACATAATAAAAGAATAAATCACGAATAACACACAGTATCTGAATTATGTATGCAGCAAACAATCATTTCTAAATACATAAAGCAAAACTAGTAGAAATAAAGAAGAAATAGAAAAATTCACAATTATAGGTGGGTATTTCAATATCCCACTGTTAGCAATTGAGAGAATTACCAGGTCAAAAATTAGCAAAGATACAGAAGAAATGAACAACCAACAGGATCAAACTAATGTCTATAGAACACTACACCAAAGGAAGGCAGAATAAATATTCTTTTTAAGCACCCATGAAACATCCACCTAGCTAAATCATATCCTGGGTCGCAAAACAAATTTCAACACATTTAAAATAACTGAAATAATACACAGTATATTCTCTGATCATAATGGAATCAAACTAGAAATCAGTAACAGTAAGACAACAGGAAAATCTTCAAACAGTTGGAAATTAATATGCTTATAAACAACTCATTAGTCATAGAGGAAATCTCAAAGGAAATTTTAAAAAATAACCAGAATTGAATGAAAATCAAAACACAACAAAATTTGTGGGACACAGCTAAAACAGAGCTGTGCAGAAAATATACAGCACTAAATGCATACATAATAAGAGGAAGTCTCAAATAAATAATCTAAGCTCTCATTTTAAGAACCCAGTAAAAGAAGAGCAAAATAATCCCAAAGCAAGCAAAAGGAAGGAAATAATAAAGATAATATCAGGAATCAATAAAATTGAAAATAAAGAAAAATCAATAAAATCAATATCTAGTTCTTCAGAAAAAAATCAGTAAAATTGGTAACTCTTTAGTAAGTTTGATAAAGAAAATACAAGAGAAGGCACCAACTACCAATATTACAAATGAAAAAAGGGTTATAGTTACAAATCCTAAACTCATTAAAAGGATAGTAAAGGAACACTACAAACAACTATACACTCACAAATTCAACAAGTTGAAAAAAATGGACAACCTAAAAGAAAATCCATTAAACTACCAAAACTCAACTAAAATAACATAAATAGTCTCATAACTATTAAAGAAAAAATGTGCAATTTATCAAACATTTAAAGAAAAACTAACACCAATTTTACACAATCTCTTCCAAACTAGAAGGGACACTTCCTAACTCATTTTATGAAGCCAGTATTACTTAGTTATCAAAAAAAAAAGAGAGACAGAATGGGAGAGAAAGAACAATATGCACCAATATCTCTCATGAATTTAGAGGCAAAAACTTAATTATTTAAGGAATGCAAGCCTGGTTCAATATTTGAAAATCAATGTGATCCACCACATCAACAGGTTAAAGAAATTCACATGATCCAATACTCATTTTGATAAAAACTCTCACCTCACTTCATCTCATCACGTAGGCATTGTATTATCTCACATCATAAGAAAGGTAAGTACAGTACAATAAGATATTTTGAGAGAGAAACCACATTCACATAACTTTTATAAAGTATGTTATGATTGTTCTATTTTAGTATTAGTTATTGTCTATTAATCTCTTACTGTGCCTAATTTATAAATTAAATTTTATCATAGTTATGTATGTATGGAAAAAACATACATATAAGGGTCAGTACTATCTGTGGCTTTAGGCATCCACTGGGAGTCTTGAAACGCATCCCCACAGATAAGGGGGGATTACTGTACCATTGAAATTAGAAGTGGGGATGAGGGACAAAAAACAGGATTAATTAAAATTGGTTTAGGGAATAGCTAGCTCTCCCACATCCCATCTTCCACCTGTACCTCTAGAGGATTATACCATGCATTCCCAAAGAAGATGGGCAGTTTACTTTTTGGAGAAATTAAAATGGAAAAAGAACGAAGTCACTGAATTGATAAGAAGGGAATTAAGTGAAAGTCTGCATGCTGCATGGTGAAACCACCCCTCCCCCAATCCCCATCCTCCCTTCCCCCAACAGCTCTCAGAGCACAGCCAGGACCTAAAGCCTCAAGTCAGGGAGTTGGAAGATTTCTCATGGGAGAGAGTCAATTAAAAGAATTATAAACACGGAGCTGTGATGGTCTCCAAATTAGATCCTTCCAAATTCCTCTGAAATGAAGCCAGCCAGTTGACCAGTCCAATCCATGCACACAAATCCAATAAACACCTTTTTATGTCTTACTCTAAAGTATGAATAAACATCCAAAGAACAGCAGATGTTTCAGGAAAGCTTCTAACATAAGTGACAAACACCTTGGCAGAAACTGATACCCACCTATCAAAATCCATTTTCCCTTTTTATTATAGCAGAAGAATTAAAAACCCGTATGTGTCTGTTTAGCAACATTACATTTTCCTGCCCCCTTTGGGTTAGACATGGCCCCATAATTAACTTTTCACCAATGAAGCATGAACACAATTGACGTGTGACATTACCATGCCAGAGCCGCTCACATAGTGGAATTGCTTACACTATACTCTCTTTCCCCCTTCTTGTAAGCCTGAGCACAATGTTCCTGTGACTCATCTTTAATCACACACATGAGGAAGATACCCTATGGGAGGGAAGATAAATAAAATGGAATAAACCTAGATCCTTGGATACATCTGTGCAGCATGGCTGCTAACTGATCTGGAACTTGAACTATTATATCAAATTTCTATCCTGTTGAACCAATGCATATATGGGTCTCAATGAAAGAGCAGCTAGTGTTAACCTAATAGAAACTCTGAAATAAAAAGAAACTTTGAGAAAACGAAAAGAATGTGGATAGCAGAAAAAAAAATGTAATATCAAGAATAATAGCAATAATTTTTAAAGAGTTCTAAAAGGTTTAGAAGTTAAAAATATGGTAACAGAAACACAAACCCAAGAGAAAGGTTGTAAGATAAAGTTGAGGAATGTTCCCAGACTATAGAACAAAAAGAGATAGAGGGGAGAGAGAGGTTGGGAGGCCTAAATTATCAAATAAAAAAGAAAATATCTCCACAACTGAAAAATAAAGTTCCTAGATGAAAGGACCCAGTGGTGCCTAGAACCATGATTTTAAACAAATTAAATCCCTTATCAAGGATCATCATTCTGAAACTTACGAATGTTATAGTCATACTAGCATAAACAATCAATACAGACCTAACAAAAATTGTGATCTATCTATACTGAAAAGATGAAGGAAGACACACACACACACTAGATAATATCTAAAATGGGTAACAGAATTAAGTATATAATTTAGAAATGTAAATAATAAAATAAAGCCAAAAGATTAAAAGAGGTTGGCTTTGAGAATAGGTGACAAAAAGAATTGCTTTATATTATAAGCTTGATATTAAACTAAAAATTACTATGATTTAAAAAATCAAATTAATTTAAAAAGACAGACTGGGAAACAATATTTTCAGCTACGTAACAAATGATTAGTCCATAATGTGTCAAATTCCTACAAACTGATAAATTCAAAAGAAAAAGTCACAGAACTAATACAAAATACCCAATAAACATACAAAAAGATGCTTAATCTGGTTAGCAATCAGGGAAATGCAAATAAAAACACCAATGTATGTCACTTTTGATCCCAAACATTTGAAAGATTAATAAATATTCAGCATTAGGAAAAGTGTGATGAAATAAGATTTTCATATAGTTGGTTGTAGGGTCAATGGACTATCTTTTTAGAAGAGAATATATCAATATTTATTGCAATTTAAAATTAAACGTACTCAAAAATGTACAGAAAGACATATACAACTCCATCCATCAACAGGAAAATGGTAAAATATTTACAGTGCATTCATACAATGGCATACTATAGAACTATTTTAAATAAATATAAAATAGTTCTATTTTATAAAACTATTGATCTCTGTCTACCGATGCCTGTAACTGAGAATTACTCTGGAGAGCATTTCTAAAACACAAATTCAGTCTTTTATATGTACACACACACACACACACATACACACACACACACACACACACAAATACAGTCTTTTCCTTTCTTAAAATGCATTTACATTTTTTTGGCACCCTCTGTATATGGCTTATGGATATGCAAGAGCAAGATTCTGTTAACTGGGTAGTGCCAAAAATATGGTTAAATTTAAAGTAAAAAAATCAAAGCTAAAATAAAAATGATTTTATTATTTATCCAACATATAACAAATACTACAAAATCTAAGTGGGAACTATTCCACCTAACAGCTCTTGTAAATCTCTATGCTGGCAAAGCACAACAGAAGTGACAAACAAGTTCTTAAAACAAAAACTGAGACAAAAACCTATTTATTGGTAGAGAGAGCATGACATTTTATTAATCTTTAAATTTAAATATAAGAAATATACAAGAATGTTATTGAACTGTTGAGGCTCCAGGTTCTAACAGTTTCTCCGACTATTCAGAAGTTCCTAAGCTGTACCAAGAGGAGTGAGCAAAGTGAGCAAGTTTCCATAGTTCCTTTCCTGTTTTTCATTCCGATAACAATTGTCTTAAGGAGCTGGAAATGAGATACCTCCCTTTCTGACCCCGAAGCATCAATAATATGTACAGTGTATATAGATACTTGTCACATTTATCTCCACAACCTGACAAAAAAACATGTTGATTTTTTTTTTTTTTTACTTTTTTAGAAATTAAACTTTCCCCCAAACCAAGTCAAATTTAAGATAAATTCCTTTGGAGTTTGGGCACTCAAGATTTTGACAAATGCAAACGTTTTACTGTTAATGACAATGTATGGCCAATTCATGCTTTCCTATTACCCTATTTTGTGGTTCCTAGAAAATACATAATATCCTTGCTAATATTTTAAGATTTTAAAATGTTACAGTATAGAGCAGAAATAGTTACAGCAAATCCCCTTGCAATACTGTTGTTGTAGGAAATAGGATGATGATGGTGATGATGCTTTACTTGCATAATCTTTTTTTTTTTTTTTAAGATTTTTATTGGGGAATTGGGGGGATGGGAACAGCGCTGGGGAATTGGGGGAAGGGGAACAGACAAGTTGCNCGCTCTTCCCAGGTGAGGCAGATCAGTCGCCGGCTTCTGGACGGCCGCTCACTGCGGCTGCTGGCCGCTCACGCTGGCTGCCGGCTACACATGGTATCCCATGGCAACCCACTGCAGCAGGGGCTGCAGCCTATGCTGTTGCCAGCGACTCATGGCAGAGCAGCTCTAGGTTGAGCTGTTGTTCAGCATCTTAGCTGTGGAGGGCAGTGTCACTGGCCCTCACATGTGGGATCCCAACCGGGGCCCTCTGGCGTCCCAAGCCAGTTCTTAACCATTGCGCCACTCGGCCAGCCCATACTTGCATAATCTTACTTGTTTCTCAGAAGAATCCCATAAAATAAGTCCTATTATAATACCCATTTTACAAATGGGGGAAGCGAGGCTTGGAGAGATTAAGTTCATAACTCACTCAGGAACTTGAACTCCTAACCACTACACTTCACTGTCTCTCCTAAATAAAGTCCTATGTTATTCTACCTCAATACTGGGTTTTAAAACCATATGCCATATGTTTAAACATGAAGACTTGGAAAACCCAAGTTTCATTAAATAATGATATCTTCCCTTAATATCACATATTGTATTTTGCTAGTTTTTCACTCCATTTAAAATTCTATGATCATACAGGAGGGGGAAGGAACCACCATTTATTCATATGTATTACACACCAAGAACTGTGCTGAGCAACTCAATAACTTTATCTTAATTCTTATATTCTTCCAATGAAATATCTTTAATTTTACAGATGAGAAAACTAAGGCTCAAGATGTTAAATAATTTCCTTCTAATGGACAAAGCTGGGATCTATATTCAGGTTGACACAACTAAAAGTCCCTGGGTTTTTTGTTTTTTCTTTTTTAACCTTAACCTGATACTTTACAGAGTATAGAAACCATAAAACTTTAAGAAATATACATGTTGTGTAATAGATGAAACACATCATTCTATATTAGTGTGTATACCATATAAATATACAAAATATTAAGAATTTGTTAAAGGATTTGTAAATCTCTAAAGTTTTCCTATACAAAGTAATACTTTATAAAAATATAAGACTAAATATTTCTGATACTTAAGCTTCCATCCTACTTATTAACCTAAACACATGAAAGGTTATTAAAAATTAAGATATTACAGTGACAGAATAGTACTACAAACGTTAAAATATGAACTACATTTTCCCAAAACTTATTGAGGTGTTTGCTACTTCTAACTCGTCTTACCATACAAGTGCATGACTCTCTTCTAATTGAAAATACATCAATAACATTTAATGAAAATGTCTACCTGATGACAAGATAGGTGCCATAAAAATAAATAGCGCAGCAATACTCTTCTCCTTTTGACTGAGGAAGAAGTAACAACTCCAGAAAAATCTCCATCAAAGTTGATAATATTTTACTACCGGTTCAAAGAATCTAGGTATGCAGCCAGAGTTCCAAAGAATTTCAAAGCCTCCTAACATTTTTGCTTTGAGTGGCTTCAAGTACGAGACTCTTGCACCACATTAAAGCGATGGTTTTATGAATAAAAGATACCAGTATAAGATTTTAAGAGTTGTGATGTTCTCCAAAATTGAAGTATAATCTCATACCCAATATTCAGTGTACTGGACTTACCAGGTAAGCTTCTGCTTAGCAACCAGAAAACTGTCACCATTTGCAGTTTTCAACACTTTTATGTCATAGAAATTCATGAGGCATTTCTGTCATATAATTTTACTTCTTCATTTTCCAACCAAACATCTAGCATTAAGTGAAATTCTAACATCCTTTTTAAAAACACTGTCAGACACCACAAAAATGTTTCCACAAAGTTTTGAAATTCATGTAAATATATAGGTTCTATAACTGAACATCTGCTAGATTTAACCTCAATCACTAAATTTTATGAACCTCTAATGTTAGAACTTACCTGCTTCATTGTTAATTGGGAACTCCCATAGTATCCCCTCTTTCGTCCACTGGATCATCTCTTCAAAACCATTCTGAAAGTGCTGTTCATTCATTGCTGCTAACTGCTTAGCAAATTCCACATCCCAAAGTGAAGGTGCTGCTTCTGTAATAATAAAAACATTTCAAATAAGCACAAGTCAATGTCAACGATCGTTCTTTTTAAAAATGTTATAATTAACTTTGAATTGGTAATACATTTTTAGAGCTTGAAGCTCATAATTAAACAGTACACAATGAAAGGTCACTCTGAGAGCTAAAACAGAAACAAAAATGATATACAAAGACTACAACCACAGTAATTGCAAGCCTTAACTTTTACTACAATGCAAGGTAATCAACCCCTAAAGTCTCACTGCCTCCGCTACTAGAAAGGAAAAAAAGAAATGTATATTATGTTTAAGGATATTTTGATGAACGTGAATATTTTTTATACAACATGTGACTTAAAGTTCATCCTGTATATCTTTGGTCTGCCAAGTCACTAATGTACTACTAATAAAAACCAAAGGAAAATTAACATGATTATAATGATAATGATAATACATTTAATGGATACTGAGCACTTACTCTGTGCTAACCGCTTTTTGTGTATTAGTGCATTTAATTCTCACAACCAACTCTGTGGGTAAGGTAACATAATGTTAGCTTATAACCCCATCATAATACGTTTCAACCACTTATTTGTTTTAGAAGTTTAAGACATCTTTCAAGAATGAGTCATATTTCCACCAGTCACTGCTGGTGGGAATGTAAAATGATACAACCACTTTGGAAAACAGTTTCTTAAAAACTTAAGAATACACTTATCATACAACCATTTCACTCCTAGATATTTACCCAAAAGAAAATATATGTCCATACAAAGACTTGTATATGTAAGTTCATTTATGACCATGCCTGGCCACACACTGACTGCTGGGTATTAAGTATACTGGCCTAGAAACCCTGATACAGAGAAAAGACAGTAGCAGTTAGGCTTATTAGCCACACACACAGAGTAATCATTACAGTAAAATAATTATACTTACATTTTTAAAATGCATTCAGTGCTCAACCTATGTCTTTTCCAAGATGATCACCAACATCATCATTATTGCTGTTGTTAATAACTACTCACTGACTGTCCACTGTGTTCCAGGCACTGTGCCTGACACTTTAATTACGTTACCTCATTTAATTATTGAGATGTGCGGATTAGCCCCATTTTATAGGCAGGGAAAGGGTAACTCAGAGAGCTTAGTATGGCAGAATCTGAGGTTGAATAATCCAGATACCCAAGACCAAACCTCTTTCCATTAAGGTATACTGCCTCTGAGCTCTAGACTACTCCACGATAAGCTGTAGGGTCTATGACCATATCCTTTGCAGCAGTGGTAAGAACTGAGTAGGGAGCAAAATGTAGAAATCATGGGACAGAAGAACTCAGTCATTTAGTCAATAAAGGCTGTGTGTTAAGAAAAGAACACTATAAGCCTGATAAATATACTCCCCAAAGGCTCTTCTTCTCACCTCCTAAGCAATCACTAAATCACTTTAGTAAGTTACTTCTATAAATGCTACCTCCTCTTCTACATAGGAAGCTGCCTAGGGCAGAAGCCAGTTTATCTTTCTGCAACAGTACAAAGATACATTGCAAATAGCAGGAGATCATTGATGTTCTACCCCAAATTAGTAGCCAATTTATAGGTCTGGATTCATGCAGCTGGTAGTCAGTCCTTACCTCCCATTGTCTCACAGAATGCAACATTTTAAGAGGAAAATCTGACCAAGCCTAGCAAGGTCAACAACTGCATTCATAAGCAGGATCCAGGCCAATGACAGAATGCAGTATTAAAATACCTGATTATTATGCAATCACACATTAAGGATGTTTTTTAAAGATGGAATGTTTCTACACCTTAGAAATAGTATTGTTCTTTTCTTAACAAACCTGTTTCAGGTGCCTCTTCAGTAACTGCCTTGGGATCGAAAATATTAAGTCTCTTTCCCTTGAATATATTTTTCCTAAAACTTAAAAAGAAAAAGACAATTAATTTAATGAGTACTTTTTTATATACTGTCAAGAAAAAATTGTTCATGAGAAGAAAATTTTATATGAAATATTCAGTGTTTAAATTAAAAATAATTGTACTGACCCACACCAGACATTTTAATTAAATTGCCATGTCTTTAGGACTGATAGGTAAAAGCAGGAACAAATACACTTGAATTTTTACATCATAATACAACAAAGCAGTTAAAGCAGTCTAAGTTCCAAAATACCTAATTGAAAAGATTAGCTTACTTTGTCATAATCTTTATTTGATCCATCTTATATTAATGTTTAGAAAATTCAATGTTGTGGGAAGCTAATTTAGCATATCAAAATATGCTAAATTAGAAGTTGTTAGGAATGAATCCAGGACTTCCAGTCAAGGTGCAGAAATAGGTAAGTGCTGTGCTCAGCTCCTAAAACCACATCAAAATTACATACAACTAAATTATAGAAAAACTACCCTAAGAACCGCCTGAAGACTAACAGAACTCCTATAACTGAGGATATAAAGAAGCAGCCACCTAAAGACAGGTAGGAGGGGTAGAGATGTGAAACAGGCTGGTCCCACACCCACCTGTGGAGGTTAATAAGTAGGGATATCTTAGCTGCAGAGGTCCCCCATGAAGAGCAAGGGGTCCCCAGCCCAAGACTACTAGAGCTGTGAAGAGGAGTCCCCACAACATCTGGCTGTGAAAATCAGCAGGAATTCTGTCTAGGCAAGACAGAGGGTGGCTGGAGTCCCCAGCATTTCTCTTAAAGGACCCTTGCATGGACTCACTTGCTGACGGACTCACTGGCTCTGAGCTCCTGCAGAGCAGCAGCTTCCAAAGCACCAGGGGGGGAACAGCCGAGTGGCTCGGCTGGTTAAGAGCTCGCTTGGGAGCACCAGCTCTGAGCAGCAGGGCTGCGGTTCGGATCCCACAGTGAGGGCCAGTGATGCTAGTCCTCTGCAGCTAAGATGATGAACAATGGCTGGACCTGGAGCTGGGCTGCTGTGGGTCACTGGCAACGGCGTAGGCTGAAGCAGGGCTGCAGTGGGCTGCCGTGAGCTACGTGAGTGGCTGGCAGCCAGCATGAGCAGCTGGTAGCCGGTGTGAACTACCGGGAGCCACTGTGAGCGGCCCACCAATGACCAGCAACCGATTGCCTCCCTGGGGAAAAGCGCAATGATCATGCCAACATGGGCCAGTGAAGCGACGTCCTCCACAACTAGACTGAAGAACAAAACAGCAATTTGTCTACCTGTCTGTTTCCCTTCCCCGATTCCCCAACGCTGTTCCCCTCCCCCCAATTCCCCAATAAAATCTTTAAAAAATAAAAAGCACCAGGGGTATATAGGGAGGAACTGAATTCTCTGGCTTCAGGATGGAGAGGCACCTCTGGCCGAGACAAAAGTGCTGGCAGGCACCATTGTTCCTTTGTTGAGCCCTCCCCCCACACAGCCTGCAGGCACAGGTGGAGGACAAATCTGAGTCTCCATCAATCTTGCCTACATTGGTGATTAACTCACCCCACCAAACTCCCACACAGAACCAAACCTCTTTCAGTGGCTATAACTCACAAGCAGCTGGTTGCGGCTCATGCTTCGGACTTTCCTAAAATCTCTCCAAGGTGCACAAACCCCAAATAAGCAGCAACTGGCCTTGGCGTGCCCTGTGTGTATTATTAAGTGGCCCCAGCCCAGCACTGGTGGCAGGGGCCTCAGTTCACAGCATAGCCTCTCCCAAGTGCCTCCACGCCCAGCATAGGCATCTATTACTTTCAACTACAGATACTTTGTAGCTCCTACCAGGTGGCCCCAGGCTGGGCACAGGCAGCAGCTGACCTGAGCCTGCATTGGAGCCCCTCCCAAGAGGCCCCAGAACCAACACACTCAGTGGCCAGCTTCAGACCACACTAGAGCACCACTCAATTAGCTCCACAAATGACATACCCAAAGGGTGGACCCAGCAGGCACCAGAGCCCCCCGCTAATGCAAATCCCACTGCATGGGGTCAGCCCCCCACACAATAGTTCATCTGTAGTCACAGCCAGTCCTCATAGCCAGTTAGCCTGAGGGTCAATCCCACCACTGAGGTGCCAACAGCAATCAAGGCTCAACTACAACAGGAGTGAATGCACAACCCACACAAATGACACCCCTCGAGTACCTGGCTAGGCGAACTGGGAGACTGTGCCACTGGGTCCCACAAGACACCTACTACATAAGGCCACTCGGCAAGACTGGGAGACATAGCAGCCCTGCCTAATACAGAAACAAACACACGGAGGCAGCCAAAATGAGTAGACAAAGAAACATGTCCCAGATGAAAGAACAGAACAAAACTCCAGAAAAACAACTAAATAAAATGGAGGCAAACAGTCTTCCAGATAGAGTTTAAAACACTGGTTTTAAGGATGCTCAATTAAGTTAGGGGAAGAATAGATGAACTCAGTGAGAACATACACAAAGAGATAGGAACCATAAAACAGAACCAGTCAGAAAGAATAGAATAACCAAAAAGAATACATTAGATGGAATTGACAGCAAATTACATGAAGCAGAGGATCAAATCAGTGATATGGAAGACAGTGTAGTGGAAATCACCCAATCGGAACAACAAAAAGAAATTTAAAAAAAATGAGAATAGTTTAAGGGCCCTCTGGGACAATATCAAGCATAACAACATTCGCATCAATGTGGTACCTGAAGGAGGAGAGAGAAAGGGATTGAAAACCTACTTGAACAAATAATGACTAAAAACTTCCCTAATCTGGCAAAGGAAATAGACATACAAGTCCAGAAAGCGCAGAGAGTCCCAAATAAGACGAACCCAGAGAGTCCCCTCCACCCACACACAAAGAAACAAAAAAACATTTAAAGTCAACATTTCATCCTAGTTTAAAGGCAGAAAACACTGCAGTTTAATTACGAATTATAATTATAAAAGATTGCACAGATAAATCAAAATATTCCCACTTATAAAGCAATCATTCTGCAATTTTAAAATGATTAACTTTCTTTACATAACTATTTTTAACTATTGAAATTAATGTCAGAGAGTTAATAGGAAACTTTTCCCTGTACATTTTAATCAACTGCTTTTTACTTCAATTCACGTTCATACTTCAGTAAATTTACTGGCAGATTGAAAGCCAGTTTATAAATGGAGGATTAGTTTTTAAAATAATTTTGAATGATTTTCTGGATCAAATTAATTTTTCTACTACATTAAATTAACTGAAAAATGCAAATACCACATTAAAATTAGATAAAGTGATCTCATATCACATGTTTTCCTCTAGCAGGTTCCTAAGTATTTGTAAACAAGGCAATTATGCCCCAGAACTATCCTCAGTGCCTTGCATTCTCTCCCCAGCTAGCAGTCCTTCAACTTTGCATCAGATGAACAGGATGCTGGATTACAGGAACTCACAGTAAAGAGGGAAGGATTCAACAAAGTGTCGGATTTTGAAAGCAGAATGTACTAAAGAGAAAGGGAAGAGAACAGATTTACTGTGAATCTATTGTACTACATATGGTTTACGCATGTTTCTTTCCTATTCTTCAAGGAAGCCAAGTTAAGCTAGGCTTCACTTTCAGCATTTTATAGATGGGGAAACAGACTGATTGGGGGGGGGGGGTTCTGAAAGTCCCCAGAGAATTAGTAGGTGGTACAGCGCCAAGATTCTGAGGCAGGCCAGTGTGACTCCAAGGCCAGTTCTCTGTGACTCACACCTCTCTAACTAAAAAAATCAGTCCAGGCCTGGATTGTGTTAGGGTGTTCCAAGTGAGAGCAGAGCGAACAATTTGGTATCTCACTATTGCTTCCCCTTGTTCTAGAGTCCTTCAGTCAGCTTTGTAACATTGTCATTATATACACATAAACCCCTTTCCTACTTTTTTAGCTAAGATATAGCATTCTGATGTAGTTGCACAGAATCATCTTAAAGAAGACTGATTCAAAGAAGACTGAATTTAAATATTCTGGAGGAACCTTAAGTAAAACTCTAACACATATTCTACTTTAGTCAATAATATGTCATAGCTATCAAATCACTTTAAATTAGTAATTCAAATAATCTTCCAAAGTCACTGTAACCTCTTGAACTTCCTTTGTTAACTGCTGACCATCCTTTCTAACCTTCCTGTACAAGTTAGTAATTTAACACCTGGAAGGCACTAACTCAAACTGCTGAAATTATACTTAAAATCTATAAAATATGCATCAAAAGTACTCCATTTGTGAGCACATCTGCTATAAAGTTGAGTTGGTTTTTGTCAGATCATGTTAAGTATTTGGTTCCCCATCCCCAACTATCACTTTATGGACTTGAGAAAGAACAGAAACTTTATGTAAATACATACAAATTTCTATTACAAAATAACTATATAAGGCATGGCTTAGCGTTTTTAAGAACTGCAAATTGCTAAACTCAAATTGCCACAAATAATCTACTTTAAGGTATTATAATGGATCTTTGTTTTTTTGATGGTAGGTTATTTCTCAAGGTACATAGAAAAATTATTACATAGAGAGATATAGAGAGTATATGAATATATATTGTTAGGCACATATCAAAATGAAAATAATGCTTCTCACAAAATGTTCATTTGTTCAGAATTCAGTCAGCTCCACTTATTCGAAATCAGGAGACTTCTATTCACCATGGGTAAAGGTGAGGCAGCACCCATTTTGACATATGGTATAGAAAAGTGTAGGATTGCCAAACTTAGAATCTCTCTCCCTCTCTAGGAAATGGTACATGGAGAGTAAGGAGACACATATAAATGCATCCATAATGCTCAGATACCTATCAGCAATAACATGCACAGCAATAAAGTAAATCTACTTGTACAGTTAAATAAACAAAACCAAATAGACCACAAAGCTTCAATACCTTTTTTTAAGATCGACAGTCTTCTGGTCAGCATAACTGTCAGATCCTTCATCAAACTGAATCTGATGAACCGGTCTTGTACTAACTCTAGCTGTGGCAGATCTGGCAACTTTCATATCTGATATTATGTTACCGAAACTGAAATAAGAAAAAGTCAAGTATAATACACATTTTTGCTACAGAATAGTAATAACTTTTCTTAAAAATGTAATTCATATCATTTAATTTTTATTTCACTTCAGCAAAATAACACAACATAAAAAGTATGTTTAAATAAAAGATATGTCACATACTAACATTCATATTCCACAGGCCACTAAGATTTGTTTCCTTCTGTCTTTTTTAAGGATGTTCTTCAAAAATGTTCATTTAAAACATAAATTAAGTGCCACCTATGAAAAATCATCATCTAGAGCAGTTGCTATATAATCAATATCTATATACTTATCATGTAGATTAAAAAACTGAAGCTGAAATTTAGCCATATTTATTTGTTGCCCTGCATTCGTTCAAATACAGATAAAACAAATGATCTGACTGAAGTCTAGTCATCTGTATTTTTCTTATAACTTCCTGAGATAAATCTTACGCACATGCTCATTGTGAGATACTCATTTACATCTCTCTCCAAAACATAGCAGCGCCACCCTACATTTCAGCAGCAAGTCATAGAACTTGGCATAAAGTAATGAGAAATGAGGGGATAAGTGGGAAGATGTCAGCAAAAACTTAAAAATAAGAGGAAAAACAGAAGGAAAAACAGGCCTGAAAATTATCATACTATGCATAAAAGCAGAAAATTATTTAACTGAAACAAATTAATCTTTTCAGAGAAACTGTCTTATTCTGTTATTTACTTATTTATTTTTAATAACACTACTGAATTTATCACTTCTTTTTAGGGAACAAGAAATTGCATAATTTCTCAAAAGAAAAATTTAACCATTTAATTGGTATTTTAAAAACTGCAATCTTACTTAAGACATGAGGTTTTTTAAAAATCAAAATGCTAATATTTCATTTATATAAATGAGTATATTATTTATTTTACTAGTCAGTTACATGAAAACAGCCTATTTTGAGATGTCAGCATTACTGACATGCTATTTGATTCACTAACCTAATTTTAGGTCTTTCTCCATCTTTCTGTGCCCTTGAGTCTTCCTCGTGCTTCCGGAGCTGCCTGAGCAGCTCTGACTTGGTTGTCTGCTTGTCAAAAGGGAGAGAATCTGCAACAGCAGATGCAGCAGCCACCAACTCAGGACTCAGGGACTCACTTCTGAAAAAGAAGATGAAAAAAACAAATGAGAAAGAAAAAAGAGGCATTATTTATTACGCCACTAGTTTAGTGGAAAGTAAAATGATTTTTTTGGAGAAAACATGTGTTGTTCAAAAAAGTATTCAATTTCTGACAAAATCAAGAATTCTTAAATATTAGTTATCAGTTTTACATAAACTTAAATGTCAAAGGTTAACGTTAATGGATACTTGCTGAAGCACAATACTAACTCACAACAAAATATTAAGGTGGAGGGGTGAAGAATCAGCCTTAAAAATCATAAATTAGTGGGTTTTTAAATTAGATGCCATTTTATTTCAAAAACAATATATATTACAAGCAAATATAAGAGTGGCTAAACCTGTTCATAGAAGCTTTATTCATAATAGCCTAAAACTGGAAACAACCCAAGTGTCTTTCATCAGGAGACTAAACAAATTGTGATATACCCATATAATAAAATAGTACTCAGCTCACATCATGACATGAATGAAACTGAATGAAATAAATTGGGATTAAAAAAATGCATATACTGTATGATTCCATTTGTATCAAGTTCTAAAACAGGCAAAATTAATCTAAGGGGAAAAAAATCAAAATAGTGGTTGCCTCAGGACAGAAAGCTGTCAGGGAAGATGAAAATGGGAAATGCTCTGAATCTTGCTAAGTGTGTGGGTTACATGGGCAGATCCATTTATCAAAATCCTACATCTAAGATTTATACACTTCAATGTATGTAAATTTTACCTGAAAAAAAAATCCCATAAATCATCATCATCATTATCATTATCATCATCATCAAGTAGATGTAAAGCCGGTGAAGGTACTGATGATAAAAGAATGGCAAAATGACGATGAAGAACTGAAGCTGGGTGACAGGTATAAAGGAGTTCATTTACACGATTTTGTTTACTTTGTTTTAAATTTTTCAAAAGGAAAAGCTAAAAAAATTAAGCTACTCTTCAGTAAATTATAAGTTAATAGAAAAACATGCCAGATATAAAAAGAAATTATTTATATTTTTTAACTCACTGAGAATTTCCATCTCAATAAGTAGGATCCAAATTAATGTTTTACTATACCTGGCTTTCTATATTATGATCTGTTGTCCAATATGCAAATTAAAGTTCCCAAATCCCTGATGTTGTTGGATTAAGATTTTAAGGACTTTACTTACTAAAATATAGGGGCTCTAAAATCAATTGGAATGGAAGAAAAATAGAATAAAAAAAGGAAATATAACAATTAAAAAGATATGTGCTACTTTCAACTGTTACTTGTAATAAGGCTTAAACCTTATCTCAAATCACTGTATTTCTTTTATAAACTACTTGTGAAGTTTATTTTCAAATTTCAATATATATTTGATCAGAGTATTGATTTTCTAGAATGATGCACTTTATGACAATGGCATTCTTTATCATCATAACTTCTGGGCTTATAATTTGAAATGTTCTAATTAATAACAATGGTCGGGGAGTCTCTGTCATCAAAATGAGATAATTTTTTACATACAGGGACCTTTCTACATAGATTTTTAACAAGATGATGAGAACTTGTTGAAATATCCTTTAACAATCTATTCTATCCTACAATTGAGACTATTTTGTGAATATGTACTTTTTCACATTATGCCCTTCTGAATTTCTTTAAAATGAACTGTGTGACAAACAATTTCAGAAAAGGAACTCTGATGAGGTGAAAGATAATATTTAGTGGACACATACTCGTAAATTGGCATAACTTTTGGCAGGCAATTCAGCACATGTATTATAAGCCTAAAAAATATACAAATCCTTTAGCCTAGCAGTTCCTCTTCTAGGAATATTCGTCTAAAGAAAATAGACATAAGGAATTTGAGGGATTACTGCACACTCCAGACTCAAGACCCAAGCAGTTCTATTCTCTGTGCGAAAGACAAATAATTTCTCAGCTATCTGCATGGGGGATGTTTCTCATTCTTAGCCCCTCCAGATAGTAAACGATGCTAAACTTTAGAAATGGCTTCTGAATGGAGATAAAATCCAGAGATGTGTCAGGAAAACATGGCTGTAAAACCCTTGGTTAAGATCTTGAAAAGATTTAAGGTGGTGCCTCAGAGAGCCTTTCAAACAAGCAATAGACTTTCTAATAAACTTAAGGGTGTGGTCGCACAGCCTCTCAGGAGCTCAATGCAGATGAGGACCTTGGTTCCCAAACTGTACCCTAAGGCACCCTGGAGCACAACAGGAAATAATACAGTGTCTATCACTGACCATGTGAATACTAACTTAAGGTACCTGTATTTTTTTTTTTTTTTTTTTTGCAGCAGCATATATACCTGTTAAGAGCTACGCCTTAGGATTTGATTTTTGGTTTTTTTTTAAGCTGAGCCATTCTGCCACCTTTTAGCAGCTCAGCAGCTGCTCAGCTCAGGCCAGGACTTGAACCGCTGTTGCTCAGAGCTCAAACTCTTGAGTGAGCTCTTAACCAACTAAGCCACTCAGCCGGCCCCACCCACATGCTTTTAATGTTAGACTATTGCATTCCTTTTGATGACATATCTTTGTGAAGATGATTTTCTGGCAGTTGCTGTGATAAAAAGCAAGTACTCTTCAAAAATCAATGCAGCACAGAAAGTGAGAGTAGTGGTATCCAATCTGATTCTAAGCCTACGTCATAAAAATAGATTCCTCCTGGTTCCCTCTCTCTTGGGACACTCGCCCTAGGAACCCAGTCACAATGCAGTAATTACAAAAGCCCAGGCCACACAGAGAGGCCACATGTAGGTGTTCTGCTAACAATCCCAGCCAAGGTCTCAGCTGACAGCCAGCATCAACTGCCAGACCTATGAGTGAGCAAATTTCAGATGATTCCAACTCCTGGGCTTCCAAGTCTTCAACTGAGGCCCAGATATCATGGAGCAGAGATTTAGTCTTCTCCACCATGCTCTGTCCAAACTGCTGACCCCAGAATCCATGAGTATAAAAACGGTTGTTAAATGCCACTAAATTCTTAGGCAATTGTTATGCAGCTACGGTAACTATTGGGTTGTCAGAAAAGTCATGAAGCATTTTTGCAACACATAGCACTAGTTCACTTTGGAAGTACTAGAGTCATTCGCATCTATGTTATTGCTATGTCATTTGACAGCTGACAGTTCTAGCTTCATCCTAAAAAAGAAAACGGAGCGATGTGGTTGAGTTTTGGAGATTTTACACCAAGTTCAAGATGGAAGACCAAACTGTGCATTTTTGCCACATTTTACCAGTTTACTTACATAAAGGGAAGAACGCACGTCAAGCTTGTGAAAAGTTGCATAAACTTTATGGTGACAATGCTCTATAAGAACGTCAGTGCCAACGATGGTTCACTAAATTCCGTGCTGGTGATTTTGATCTCAACAACGCTCCTCTGTCAGGGAGGCCCACCGAGGTTGATGACAACAATATAAAGGCATTGATCAAGTCAAACCCATATTACACAACATGAGAGATTGCAGGAACATTGAATATCCATCATTCAAGTGTTCACAACCACTTGAAGAAGCTGGGAAACGTAAGCAAGGTCGATATTTGGGTTCCACATGAACTCAAAGAAGTTCACTTGACGGCACATATAAACATCTGCAATATACTCATTAAACATGAGGAAAACGACCCTTTTTTGAAGTGACTGATAACTGGTGATGAGAAGTGGATTGTTTACAACAATGTGGTGTGCAACCGGTCTTGGTCCTGAAGTGATGATTTGCCTCAAACGACATTGAAAGCAGACATTCATCAGAGGAAGGTTATGTTCTCAATGTGGTGGGATTTTAAAGGTGTCGTGTTTTTCGAGCTCCTACCAAGGAACCAATCAATTTGAATGTGTACTGATGGCAATTGGACAGTTTGAACAAATCCATCATCCAGAAATCTCCAGAGCTTGTTAATTGTAAAGGAGTTGTGTTCCATCGCAACAATGCGAGACCACACACAAGTTTGATCACCTATTAAAAATTATTGGAGCTTGGATGGGATGTGTTGCCACACCTACCATACTAGCCTGAACGTGCACCGTCAGACTTCCACTTGTTCCACTCTCTTCAAAACTCCCTGCGTGGCATAACGTTCAATTCAGATGAGGCTGTAATCAGCACCTTGTTCAGTTTTTCGCAAATAAAGACAGGTCCTTCTATGAACAAGGAATTATGAAGCTCACTGAAAGATAGCAAAAGGTTATCGAACAAAACAGGCAATATATCATTGATTGATCTTTGTTCTTTATATAAATCAATGACCTTTGAAAAACATGGACAAAATACGTTATGACTTTTCCAACAACCCAATATATCAATTGTGGTTCAATATACAAATAAAGAAATCAAAGCAGGCCATGCATGAAGCAATGATGACAATGCATCATGAACTAATGATTATTAACCCAATTCTGTGCAACTGGGATCCCTTAAAAGGAGAAGAGAGGTCATTAAAAGATAGTTTAAAATTTTATTAAATGTACTAGGGTGACATTGGTTAATAAGATTATACAAGCTTTGGCCTGGCCAAGTGGCACATTGGTTAGGAACTGGCTTGGGATGTCAGCACTGAGCAGCAGGGCCCCGGTTCGGATCCCACATGGGCCAGTGACGCTGCGCCCTCTACAACTAAGACGGTGAACAACAGCTCGACCTGGAGATGGGCTGCCTTGAGTTGCCAGCGGCGGTGGCAGCATAGGCTGCAGTGGGGCTGGCCGGCAGTGGGTGTGAGCTTTGGTGAGCTGCAGTGAGCCACCATGGGTAGCCGTCCAATGGCTGGTGAGCGACTGCCTCAACCGGGAAGAGCACAATGATAATACCAACATGGAACAGTGAAGCGACGTCCTCCACAACTAGACTACAGAACAGAAGGACAGCAACTTGTCTGTTCCCCTTCCCCGACTCCCCAATGCTGTTCCCCAATTCCCCAATAAAATCTTAAAAAAAAAATTATACAAGTTTCAAGTGTACAATTCTATAATACATCACTGGTATACTGCAT